TCATTCCTTTCCTTTTAAATTTCCTCTCCATTTGACCTTGGAGGAAAAAGCCAGTAATGAGACTACTTCAACATCCTGGTGGGAATCAGAACTGGATTTACTGGTTCTTACGGCAGTGGAATTAGATATTTCTTTCTCTTTTCTGATACTTTCTATAGTATTATATTAGTCTTATCGGTATATGCTAAATTAATTTGTATGAGTAATACTACTAAATGATACTGCCAGAAATGACAAAACAGTGTTGTCCTTAGGTCAAAAACAACCCATTTAAATGGCCACTTAACCAAGTTCACCACTGAGTTCAACATCTTAAATGCTTCTATTGATACCTTAAACCTCAAAACCAAATCTCAAATAACTATAATTAATTAAAATGATTATCTGAAACAAATCAAAGAGCTCTAAACTTATTTAAATTAAATTGATTCTTGCAGCCATTCTACCATTGGAGAAAAATTTCAGAATGTTCAGCAATGTGGGATATGGGGATAAAAAGATAAATCTGATGAACTGTAATTAAAATGTTAATTTGAAATGTTTTAAACATCTGCTGTCAAAATTCTATCTCCCAAAAGACTGCCTGTTCCCTTACTCATAAAACACTACCAAAGAAGCAATAAATTCAGGTATTTCAAAAATCAACAGAATGTCAACAGACGCTGGAAAGAAACAGTGGTGCTGAATTTTTAGTAATTCTTTATAGAATGTCCTTGTATAAACTACAGTAAGCCTAATTCTACCTTAAAGAGCTAAATAATAACTTGACTTTCATTCCTTAAGAGAACTTCTGTAATATGGCATGAACATGAATGCAGCTATTAATTTCACCTGGTCCCATAAGGTGTCAAGAATCCCCATTAAAACCTCAGTAAGTTAAAACTGTCTAAAGGCCATCAGATGAGGCCATTATTCCATAAATGCCTATCTTTATGACTGCCTGAGAGCCTTTCTCTCTCCTTCAAATGATTTCCTCTGTTTTCTCAATGCTTTCTCTGCTTTAGCATTACACAGAATAAAATTACATTATTTACTGTATTTCCTGGACTAAATTTGATCCTCTCCATTCTTCATTTTAAAACTGAATATAAAAAGTATTAATTAAATTTCTCTGAAGAAGAAAAAGTTGACTTGTGATTACATGGCCTTTGATGTGATTTCTAACTATAAGAATCTTGAGGAAAAAAAACAGAAAAGTCAAACATATAGAAAAATAAAAAGGTAAACTTGTTACCTTACGCGAATACCAATTATTCATCCGTTTTCTGTCTCTAAATATTATCTAAATCTTCAGACAACAAACTCGTACAAAGAATTTTACAAAAATTTCTTTTAGGAAGTTTCTTACTTGTCTCTAGATGCTCCCAGCGCCAGAACAATAGGATCTGCGATCTCTAACATAGACTGTAGGATAGAAGCTACGACAATGAAAAGGATAATACTGAGCAGGAATGCCCGGTGAACAACCTGTAGCTCTATCAGACCAGTCTGCACTGCCAGGATCAACAGCGTAACTCCTTCTGTCATGCCCCTAAAGAAAGCATACGTTTTCAGAAAAACAATCAAAATCTCATTTCATTCCAAGAGAAAATAATCCAAAGACTTAAACTGTTGTTACATATTTGTGATCTAGTCTGACTTAGACAAAAAAACCTGATCAGAATATTAACTTATATAGAGCATCGATGTAATAAGTAATACATAGTCATAATACACCATTATATGTGTGCAAAATGTAATAGCTATTATTTTAGCATACAATGAGGAGATAAAAAGCAACTTCTAAGATAAATAAAAGTGTTCTAACCAGGCTTTGCTAATGAGCCAGATACTCTACCATTCTTAGATATCCACGGAATTATATTTATATCATGAGCTGTATCTTGATTAATAAAAAATAAAATCATAGGTGAATGTCTTCATAATCTTGGGAGTAGGAAAGGTCTCTTTAAGTAGACCTAAGAACTAGAGAAGACATAAATATACTTTCTTGAAATTCAGTTTCCATATGGAAAATACATAAAAAATCTTGAGATCTTTTTCATCTTATTGACTTGATTTATAAAGAACCCTCACAAATAAATGAACAAAGGTTAAGTCCAGTTTTCAAAACCACAAATGAGTAAATATTTCAAAGTCTGATGACCCAACCACTGACAAGGAATTTTGAGAAAAAACAGGGAGACTAATGTTGAGATAAAACAGATAAAACCTTTCTAGAGAAAAACTTGCTAATGAATTTAAAAATGTATATACCCTTCAACTCAATAATCTTACTGATAATTTACCCTATGGATGTACTACAAAAAATTTAAATGTAAAAGAAAATATAGTGAATAACAGAACATGTTATGTGATATCACAGGGATACAACTGGCAAAATTCAGACTCTGAAAAACTAAACAGGACTATCTCGTGTCTTCAACAAATAAAATGAAAGGGAAAAAATACAGACACAGCAGGGACCTAAATATTAAAAGAAACTTAAAAAATTAGTAACCAACTGCAATATGGGCCTTATTTGGATCTGAAGTTGAACAAACAAAATGTTAAAAACACAAAAAAGGGTTATATGAACACCAACTGGGAATTTTATGTCAAGGAATTCTTCTCACTGGGAATGAATGTACTATTGTAGTTATGCTTTTTCAAATGAGACAATGAGACTGAAATATTTATGGGTAAGATGGTATTATATCTGGGATTTGCACCAAACAAAGGCAGCTGGGGATTATGGAGGGGACAAAGTAAGTGGAGTAGATAGGGGCAAGCATGACGGAAGACTGGCTATACTACTGGAGATGGATGACAGGTATCTGGAGGTTCATTTTACTATTCTTTCAACTTTGTTAATTTAAAAGTTTTCTAATTAAGAGTTAAAAAAAAAGGAGACATATACAAAGGAACCATTTTTTAATAACAAAAAAAGAAAAAAAGAAATACATCCATATTTTGGAATACTATACCTTTATCAAAAAGAATGAGGATGTCTTTGTGTTGACATAAAAAAACATCTAAAACATATTTAAGTGAAAAACTTAAGTGCAGAACTGTGTATACTATGTGGAAATGAAACAAAAACAAAAGTAGCAAATATATATGTGTGTGTACTTTTCCCCATAAGAAATTTTAAAATAACCATTATAAACTGTTACCCTTCAGGGAGAGGAAATGGCAAGCAGGGGGAGGAAGAATTGTCACTTCTCATTTTGTATTTTCTGAATGGTGTGAATTATTTTTCTTTCTTGCCCTCCTCCCTCTTTTGCCATTATAAAGGCGTTAGCTGGGACTAGCAGGAAGATTATAAAGCATTTTTTTCTCTTCTGTCATAAAAAAATACTGTACACCCCCCAAAACATGTTTCCTCCAATTTACAAGATACTCACCATCTACTAATTCTGCAACATTCCATAAAGATTTAAAGACTTTAAGATTATATAAATTTATACAAATGAAACCATTAAAAATTCCTACATTAACAGAAATCGTGACAAGTTCTAGAAATAGGGTTTCCCAATATCTGATCTTAGTGATTTAATAACTAGATTAACTATTCTGCGTTCTCATTAATGCATTCTTTGAAACTTCAATCAGTATCCAAATTATGTCTACACACACAAAAAAATTTTTAAGTATCAAATATAGAAATTGGATTTTAACAGGTCTATACTTAAATTTCAAATGGGAAAAAGCAAGCTATCAAAAATCTCTTAGGGCACCTGGGTGGCTCAGTTGGTTAAGTGTCCAACTCCTGATTCCAGCTCATGACTCATGATCTCAGGGTTGTGAAACTGAGCCCCATGTCAGGCTCTGCACTGGGTGTGGAGCCTGTTTATGATTCTCTCTCTCCCTCTGCCCCTCCCCTGTGAAAAAATCTCTTAAATCTAGGAAAGTGTCCAATATATATTGATATGTACATACAGTAAAAACTCATCTTTTACATATGGAAATTCAGTTATATTTTAATAGTATTTTAAATCCAAATAGATGCAACCATTCAAAAAAAAATCTCAAAATTCCATTTCCTCTGAAATTCATCATTACTTCTTCAAATTATATATAATATTTAAATGTCTAGAGGTAGCCATAGTCAAGAACTTACCGATTCATGGCAGGATCATTCATGAAAGCTCGATAACCCTGCAAGTAAAACTTGCAGAGCGTCAGAACACCCAAGGCAACAAAGGAAACCGTGAAGACCAAACCCAAAAGCGAATAAGGAGTGCTGCAGCATTCAGCAATACTAGAAAAAGGAGGGTGGGGAAATATTGACAGATAAAAATTTTCCATTTGAAAAAACCGTCTTAAGCCTTCAAATAACCACCAACCTTTATCTGATCCTCATCAATTAAAACACCCCAAACCAAAATTTGAGGTAAAAATCACCTAACCACTCCATTAATAATTTAAATCCATTCTTCTAGTATCCTAACCTACATTTTTTTAAAACTCTTTGGCAAATATTCAGTCCATAGCACCATATCTGAAATAGTCTTCTCTTTATCACCTTTCAAAAGCAGTAAGGGCTTCAATTGTCTTCAAACCCTAAGAGACATATAATTAACATGCTGATAATATTCAAAAAAGACTCATATAGTTGCCCATAGTACCTTCTGAAAAATGTTGGCTATTCAAATTGTGCTAATATGATTACCTGTCAAAACTCCTTATTTGACCAAACTGCTACCAGGGAAGGCCCATATTGACTTTGCAGCTCCCAACTCCTCTCAATACAACAGTATTTTCCATATTATTAATACTTTAAATTTTAATTTAATTTAGGTTTACATAATTGCATTTTTTTCTGGGTTATTTCAAAAGCATATCCAAGAATACAGCCTAAGACCATTTAAAAAATAATTTTATCATCAACTTTTAACATAAAAGTTTGCTATGAATACCACTTACAAGAACTGGAAGACCTTACACTAACTAAAGCTTGTAAATACTTTCACACTTTATGGAAATACATTCCATACTTTCAATGAACATATTAGAAACTAACTTATTAACAAGTATTTTACAAACATATGTAATATTATGTACTAATAGTTTGGATTTAACATTTATACAGCATTTAACAAATGTTCAGAGAAGTTTGAGAATTCCAGTTAAGAATTTCATTTGTATGTATGAGGAATTCATTCAGGCAAATCAATACCTATCCTTTACTATGTAGCTCTGTGCTTCTGCTACGTAGTTATCCTTCCTACACAATTAACTGCTCATAAGTTAAGTTTTTAAGTGAAAACATCTACTTTTCCATAGACCAATATACATTATGATGAGGAAAAAAATATGTGGTTTTCTTTTAGGAGTCAAGATATCTATGAGTCATGGTGGTTGATAGCTAAAAGAATGATTGTATGGCATTCTTAGAAATCTAATTTCTGAAATGTGACATTTTCTCAGAAATCCTTGTGCAGGATGTTTAAACAAATTGTCTAATAACTAAAAAGTAATAATCATGGCTAAAAATACACTAAAAATTTTACTACATTCTCATGGGAAAAGTCTGAAAATTTTACTGATGATCCATGCTATTTCTCTATTCTTGTCTTAATATTTAGAGAAATCTTTTATACCCAAGCAGTATGATTTAATTACATTTTCAAGAGGATATTTTCAAAAGAGAACATAAGAAAGCAAAAGGTTTCAACCTAACTTTGGAGAAGTGAAAGGATTTGGAAAACTTTATAAAACTTTTCTTCCTCTCTCTCTTCAGTGAGATGTTTTACTGATTTTCGTTTCTATTTCCTGGCTGCAAAAACAAAGTTTTTGTTTGTGTGTGCTTTTTTAGTTGGTTTGTCTAGTCAGAATATGCTGATAAACTTGCAATCTTCCTTTTGTAAATAAGTTGTTCTTTGGCAAGGTAAACACACCAATGTAACCTGGCACAAAGAAGCATCAAGGACAACGAACAATGCTTACAGAGATAGAAATTAACAGAAGAACCAATTAACTTCTTTGTTAAAAACCAAAGTTCAACATTCCTATATTTAGGAATGTACTCTATTCTACGTATAAAAAGGAATAGAGAGAAAAATCATTTTGTCAAGACACCTAAACCTCATCTAAAAGTTTCAGTATTACTTTCTTACTTTGTAAGTCAGTCCAAACTCATTCATGGCTTACTGATTTGTTAAGCCTATTACACTGTGCTACATTTGATCTGATTGTGCTTTTTAATGGCTAATAATATGGTTTAAAACATGACCAATCCCAGTCTCACACTTAGGTTATTATCCTAACCAAAGGATTCTATTTCTCTTTCTCTTTAAATTGAATTACTTTTTGGATCATTTTAAAATTCTTCATAAAACTTCCATAATATTTACATTAAAAAACAATAGCAGGGGTGCCTGGGTGGTTCAGTCATTAAGCGTCTGCCTTCAGCTCAGGTCATGATCCCAGGGTCTTGCTCTGCAGGAAGCCTGCTTCTCCCTCTCCCACTCCCCCTGCTTGTGGTTCCCTCTCTCACTGTTTCTCCCTCTGTCAAATAAATAAAATCTTAAAAAAAATAAAAAATAAACAATAGCAGTGAAACTTCATTAATAATGAACTATTAAAATATATTTGGTATCAATTTATTGCATGCTTATAGAAGCTACTTATCAACTAAAAGTGTTATTTTTAGAAAGTATAAAATAAGTTTATTCTGCTTATTTACTAAAATAGGTACTGTCCTATGACATTTTTATTGATATTTAACACTGTGTTAACATTTTCCCTGCACCCCTTACTGCACAGTGCTCCATCACTTGGTTGGCTGAGAAACAATGGCTCTATTAACTGAAACTCAACACTTTTGTCTGCCTATATGTACTCTCCCGAAGGACAGAGTTTCATTCTTGCCTGTATGTGCCAGGGAATGAAGATACATAGCCATGTGCTAGGTTCTGAGGGCTTGAGATTCAAACTCAAGAGTGGAAAAATGACAAATGTGGATGTAGCTCACAACAAAGATAACTTTAGTAGAAAAAGGACTCCGATGACTTAAGACTATTTTTTTAAAAAACTAAATCTTAAAAACCAAGTCTTAGAATTCCTTTGGGGCAAACAGCAAAGCATTACGATATACTCACTTCTCCAATTATTTGACTGTATCTGAATAATGAAGCAAAACATTAAAAATAACAGGGCGTTAGTTGCAAGAGTAAGGTTTGAACTCAGATGGGCTCTGACATCAGCATGGCTTCTTTCAACGGTGTCACCTGGGGCAAGGTACTCTCAGTACAGTCTCCTCAGCTATTAAAAAATGGTAAATGATAATAAAGGCACCTATCTCTCAGGGCTGCTGTCAAGACTAAATGTGAAGAAAAGTGTTTAGGAATGTGGTGGCACATATTAAATACTTAGTAATTGATAATTATTTTTAGTAACATGTTTTATTTACCCAACCAATAGTTTAACTTGAAATTAAAAAAATATTTTTAAAATTTGCTATGTACCTTTCCACAAATCATTTGCTACAGCCAAATATACCATTATTACCTTAGCACCTCCCTGCACTGCCAGACCTAGGCATCCACCAAATGAAAATCCTATCTTAATTAAATATGGGGTACACTCTAATGTAACTGGAAATTTGCAAAACTTGCTATTCCTAGATCAAAGTCTTCTCTTCCTAAGATTATGTACAGTATCATATGTTCTTATTAATTACCTTGTCAGGAAAAGGAAAAGAAGCCTCTCACGTGATGCAGGCTGATCTCGAGTACTGAAATAGGAGTAAATCTGAAGAGCAAATAAGACGAGCCAGAAAACCATGAAAAGTACAGGGACTACGAGTTGATTCCAAAGGGACATTCCCAAGGCTAGAAGGCCATATACCTCTACTACCTGAATAAGAAAATGAGACAGGAAAACATCTTGTATCACTTCAATAAACACTTTTAAACACAAAAGAGTTCAAAGTACTTAAAAAGAGAAAAATTAAATTGCTTTTCTTTCACTATAAGATTGTTCCAACTAAATTCCTTTAAAGTTAGCTCTGTATATACAGTTAGTATGTTTTCTAAAATTATCTGATTTTGCATTACTATTAACACTTGACACACATTCATCAAATGACAACCTTTATAAACTGCCCTTACAGTTCAGAGTAAAGTCTCTTTCAGAGTAAAACTACATCAAAGGTAGGATGAGCAGACTTTGTAAACTTACTCAAGTCTAAATCAAAATGATCAGGACTACCATAAATGATGCAATAGTGCGTGAATGGCTAGAAAAAGGGGCAATGTAAAAGGAAGAATTTTTCCGGTTTTATTCAGGAAATGTCATAGGGGAGAAACAGTTTGACAAAAGACAGAATAAACACTGGAGTTTACTCTATTGGAGAGCAAAGACAGTTAGTAAGTCTTTTCCCCCAGACAGATCAATTCCCCTTGCTCCTCCTGTGTATTTATCAAACAACATTTCTCAATTGACTTGATTTGCCTAGTGCATTAACACCAGGAAAAAAGGTACAACTAAAAAAAGTTTATTAATCTACTACCCAGTAAATTAGCTTTCCAGTTTGTAAAACAATCTCTATGAGACTCGTTAGGAGGAATCAATTCTCATAATCTGACTCAGCCTAAGAGCATACATGTAACCAAGTTTCTGGAGTTACTATGCCAAGGACCAGACTCTGGTAACACAACAGGGTTCTGCAAGGCAGGCTACAAACTCTAATCTACATAGCCAAATTGTCTTGCTGGAACTCTCAATGTGATACCAGAATGTTTCAATAAAATTCAAAAATCTTAAATTAAAATACACTGACTTCAAGTTTTTCTGATTTCTAATTAACACCTATCTCTAGGTAGACCTAGATCTTTTAAGTATTAAATTAAAATGCAATGACTTGCAGATTATTCTAAATTTAAATTTTTTCTGTAAATCAAATGCTTTCTCTAAAATCCAATCAAGATTACCTTCTATTTTTCCCCTACTAGAAAATATTTAAAGAAAAAGCAAGTTGTCCAACTAGCTGCAAAGTTATTATTAGCAGCAAACTGATCATTGAGAGGTAGAGAGTAATTTTCCTCCTTTCCATTCAAAGAACAGATAACTCAAAAGCCTGAGAGTTTCCATTTCTTACCTATCCAATTCTTTCCAGGTTGTGGATTTCATAACCTAGAATTTATTTTCAACTACGACATCTAGTGATGCATGAATCTTAAGGCAACCAAGAAGGTAAACATGACACTGAAAAATGAGGGCTCTGTCCTTAACAGTCCCCATTAAATAAACAGTAAACAATTAATGTTTACTAATTGTCTTGTTTCCCACAAACTAGGGTAGCTCCACAAGACTGAATTCAAAGAAAAAATACATATTTTAGTCATTCTTATTCTGAATACAACTATAACCCTTCCTCATGAAATAGCTCTTCGTTGAGTATGAAAATAACTTCCTCTTCTCTGAAAGACCTACTTTCAGGAAAATTGCCCAAGTTAATCATTACATAAGATGAACAAAGAAGAAGGCAGAATCAACCTAAAGCCAAGAGTTTAGGGAAATTTTTCTGGGAAATCTGCCCCTGGGGCCACAACAACAACAAAAAAACCCACTTCACTTAGCAGTTTCAGTTTAGTCAATCTGAGAGCCTCCTGTACCTTAAGGTCATATACACACAGTCAAAAGGTAGAAATGAATGTGCATTTTAGCACTCTCTTTTTATATCAATGTCAGTTTTTATATGTTTTATATACTGAAATTATCAAACAAGTCAAATGGAAATATTTAAATATCTATTGTTTCTATCTGGGAAATAATCTGTTTACTTTTTTTTTAGCAAAGGCTAAAAAAAGTAGGATAGGCAGAAGCATGTCATGTTGGCAAAATCAGTATATCTTAAACAAAATCCATCATATGAATGCCCAGAACTACTTCTCAGTTTACATAAGCTGGCAAATACAAGGAAAAAAACTGTAGTCACAGGAGGACTTTAATCAGAAGAAAAATCCAGATTTTACCTCTACGTTTTCAATTCTGTATTATTTTTGTCTTCATTATAATAGTTAACACATACTCAATACTTCTGCCACACTGAACTCATTTAAATCTCACAGCAACCCTACAAGTTAAGTACAACTGTTACTCTTAGCTCCATTTTACCGATAAGCCAACTTAAGTAACTACCCACCAACCCCAGGTTACACAGCTAGTCAACAGCAGAGCCAGAGTAAAAACCCAGACACTCTGCTTCCCCAGAATCACTTCAGTTCACTGCCTCCCTGCAGAACAATTCATCAAAAAGAATCGCAGATGCTCCTAATTAGGTTGAAAATAGTTGCTACTTAGAAACTGTCCAACAGAATGTTACCATGATCACAACTATGAAGTGAACTAAATCTTTAGTAGAACTAATTTTTATGTAGAATTTTATCTACCTGTGTGTGGTTGTCAGTCTTACCTGAACCAATTCTCTGTATGCAGACTTAGCAAGGTTATAAGGTACTAAAAGATTAGACCCAAGAAAGTAGAGAACTTCCAATCCAGTAAAAATCATAGCAAATTTGTTGATGATAACAATTGTCTCCAGAGGGACAAGGCAGAGTCGTGCTAGCAAGGGAAGCATGTGAGCTGAAAAGAGCCAAATCTGCTTCGTTTTCATGACACAGGAACATAAAGTACACACCACCAACTGACCTAAAATGGGGAGGAGAACGCATTTAAGATTTGGTATCCACAAAATAAAAACAAAAGACACTGCCAATAAAGATGACACAGCTTTTGAAGAAGTCTAATTAAGATCTCTTAGATAATAATTTAAATCAAATTTTTACCTCATCTAACCATAATTACATATTCACATGTTCTGTCAATTTTGAGCACCAGTTTCCTAGGTACTAATCTGAAAAAAAGCAGCACAAATATCCACTGGTCTTCATCACATTTTGGATGGCATATATAATACAGAAAAAGGTTTTTTTTATGTCTAATTCAATATTATAGTTATTCAATTACTACTGTTTATATATAGCTCTTTTTACAAAGGTCCTCAATATTTAACTGTTCTGGTCTATAGGTGATAGCATAAAATTCCAGAGATACAGTTAATTCTCTAAGATCATGCTGCAACAAAATTCATTCTGAGATTTTCAAGCTTTAATTGCTTTTACAGGACGATGCAAGCCTTCTTTCCAAATGACTCAATAGTGAAAGTTAACACTAAAAAATTTAAGTAACAAATTCTTCCCAGAGGATTATGTATGATCATTACAGAAAAGTTAGAAAATACAGAGAAATAAAAAGGGGGGAAAAGTTCAATCTCTTATAATCCTATCACACCAAGACAGCCTGTTAATAATACCTTTGGTCCATTAGACGAAGCACTGCATAGAGAGCATTGTATCTAAAACCTAGTTAAGTGCTCAATAAAAATTAGGTATTCAGGGGCACCTGGATGGCACAGATGGTTGAATGTCTGACTCTTGGTTTCAGATCAGGTGATGATCTCAGGGTTGTGAGATCGAGCCCCCGGAATCTGGCTCCGTGCTCAGTGCAGAGTTGGCTTGAAACTGGCTCTCCCTCTCCCTCTGCCCTTCCCGCTCATGTAAGTTTGCTTGCTCTCTCAAACAACTAAATAAATCTTTTTTAAAAATTAGGTACTCATCATAACAATAAAAAAATTTAAAAAAAAATTAGGTACTCACACCATTACCCTTTTGAGATTTATTCTATGCATGTGAATATACACAAGTGTTTTCTATTCAGATTTATTCTATGCATGTGAATATACACAAATGTTTTCTAGATTATAGGGTACATACTATTTCACAGTGTTTTTCAGTTAATACATATAATGCATGTGTCTCTCTCTATGCCAGAAGGTACATATACATGGTTGCTTTTAGCTGTATGGGATATTACACTGAATGCATATGACAGAGTGCTAACGTATGGCTGTTTTCAAATAGTGCATAATTATAAAATGTTTTGTTATGAATAAGCCTATACGTGTATGACATCCTTGTATAATCTACCTGGAGCATATTTCCCAATATCTTCTTAGACTAAATTCCTAAAAGTGGAATTACCGGTCAAAGAAATATTTCAGGCTTTTGACACATACCATCAGATTGCTCTATAGAAACAAAACACCCAGTGTACATGGTGCCCATTTTCCCACTGACTTGCCAGCTTTAAAAATAATTTAAGGAAGGGTTGGGCAAGGAGTATTTCTTAAGCTTTTTAAAAGTTGCATTTGTTGATTACCAATTACAAATAAGTATACAAAAATAATTTGTAATTATTTGGTGAAATGCTTCTTCACATTCTTTGACCATTTCTATTGGAGAATGTAGCCTTCTGGAATTCTTTGATCAAGATATTAATTTCCTTTGTCTTACGACTATATTTCCCAATGTGTCATTTGAATGTTTTAATAATATTTTTCTGTTATAGTACAAGATATTTTACTATAAATGGTCAAACCTATCAATCTTTTCTTTGATGATTTCTACCTTTGGTGTCATGGTTAAATCACATGGGTTGCCCTACTAAAGATTATACAAGTAATCACCTACATTTTCTCTGAGTATTCTTTAATGTATTAAATTAATACATTTGAGGGGCGCCTGGGTGGTTCAGTAGGTTAAGCATCCGATTCTTGATTTTGGCTCAAGTCATGCATGATCTTGGTGTCATCGGATCGAGCCTGGCATCAGGCTCTGTGCTCAGCATGGAGTCTGCTTAAGATTCTCTCTTTCCCTCTTCCCTCTGCCCCTCCCCTCATTCACGCTCTCTTTCTAAATAAAATCTTTAAAAAAAATTAACACACTTGGAATTTATTTTAGAATAAGGTAAGAAGTAATGATCTAAGTTTGTTTTTCCAGATGTTTAGTCAGCTGTCTCCAAACTAGTGATTAGAATCATCCATTTCCCTTCTCATTACTTTGAAATGCCAGTCTACTATACTTTAACATTTTTTGTATATTTGTGTCTACGTCAGAACTTGCTATTCTTTTTTTTTTTTTTTTTTTTAAGATTTTGTTTATATATTTGAGAGACAGAGAGAGCACCAGCAGGGAGAGGAGTTGCGGGAGAGGGACAAGCAGACTCCCTGCCGAGAAGGGAGCCCAACATGGGGCTCGATCCCAGGACCCTGAGATCATGACCTGAGCCAAAGTCAGATGCTCAACCAAATGAGCCACCCAGATGCCCCCTTGCTATTCTTTTTTTTTAAATTTTTTGTTATGTTAATCACCATATATTACATCATTTGTTTTGGTGTAGTGTTCCATGATTCATTGTTTGTGCATAACACCCAGGGCTCCATGCAGAATGTGCCCTCTTTAATACCCATCACCAGGCTAACCCATCCCCCTACCCTCCTCCCCTCTAGAAACCTCAGTTTGTTTTTCAGAGTCCATCATCTCTCCTGGTTCGTCTCCCCCTCTGACTTACTCCCCTTCATTCTTCCTCTCCTGCTATCTTCTTCTTTTTCTTTTTTCTTAAAATATGTTGCGTTATTTGTTTCAGAAGTACAGATCTGTGATTCAACAGTCTTACACAATTCACAGCGCTCACCGTAGCACATACCCTCCCCAATGTCTATCACCCAGCCACCCCATCCCTCCCACACCCGACCACTCCAGCAACCCTGTTTGTTCCTGAGATTAAGAATTCCTCATATCAGTGAGGTCATATGATACATGTCTTTCTCTGATTGACTTATTTCGCTCAGCATAACACTCTCCAGTTCCAACCACGTCGTTGCAAATGGCAAGATCTCATTCCTTTTGATGGCTGCATAATATTCCATTGTGTATATATACCACATCTTCTTTATCCATTCATCTGTCGATGGACATCTTGGCTCTTTCCACAGTTTGGCTATTGTGGACATTGCCGCTATAAACATTGGGGTGCACGTACCCCTTCGGGTCCCTACATTTGTATCTTTGGGGTAAATACCCAGTAGTGCAATTGCTGGATCGAATGGTAGCTCTAATTTCAACTGTTTGAGGAACCTCCATACTGTTTTCCAGAGGGGTTGCACCAGCTTGCATTCCCACCAACAGTGTAGGAGGGTTCCCCTTTCTCCACATCCCCGCCAACATCTGTCGTTCCCTGACTTGTTAATTTTAGCCATTCTGACGGGTGTGAGGTGTTATCTCATTGAGGTTTTGATTTGGATTTCCCTGATGCCGAGCGATGTTGAGCACTTTTTCATGTGCCTACTGGCCATTTGGATGTCTTCTTTGGAAAAATGTCTGTTCATGTCTTCTGCCCATTTCTTGATTGGATCATTTGTTCTTTGGGTGTTGAGTTTGATAAGTTCTTCATAGATTTTGGATACTAGCCCTTTATCTGATATGTCATTTGCAAATATCTTCTCCCATTCTGTCGGTTGTCTTTCGGTTTTGTGGACTGTTTCTTTTGCTGTGCAAAAGCTTTTTATCTTGATGAAATCCCAATAGTTCATTTTTGCCCTGGTTTCCCGTGCCTTTGGTGATGTTTCTAGGAAGAAGTTGCTGCGGCTGAGGTCGAAGAGGTTGCTACCTGTGTTCTCCTTTAGGATTTTGATGGACTCCTGTCTCACGTTTAGGTCTTTCAACCATTTGGAGTCTATTTTTGTGTGTGGTGTAAGGAAATGGTCCAGTTTCATTCTTCTGCATGTGGCTGTCCAATTTTCCCAACACCATTTGTTGAAGACCCCCTTGCTATTCTTTCTCAATGATCTACTCTGATGACAGTACTACACTGTTCCATTTCACTGACTAAACACGCCTCCATAAATCCCTTTAAAATTTCTTAAAAATTCTTTAACATGTTATCTATCAGATTAACTTAAGAATCATTTAAGTCAAATTCTCTTCCTTCTTGCCAATGAAAAGCAAAACAATACTTTGAGATTTTAGTTGTGTTCAGTCTATATTACTATTAAAAGACTACAAAAATGGCATCCATTTTTACACAAAGCTCAACATTGATTAACAATCTACCATGTTGTAACACGTATCTTCTCCCACAAAGAATTTTAGCCTTTAACGAACTGATATCTAAATAATGTGAAAAATATTCATAAAGGCATAAAAGGAAGAAAACCCAAAATACTACAAACAAACAAACAAACAAACAACAAAACCCAGAGGAGAGGCCACCAAGTGAGTTATGAAAACATTTTAAAGGACAAAGAATGAAGAGATAGGAGGCAAC